TACTACTACCATATAACATGCTAGCTTATAAATACATAAATCATATACTGCCTAGCTTATTCGGGTGCTGGCATACCCCTTCGGCCCTATCGACCGGTATTGGGGTCTATCCTACCCCTCCTACCTCTATCACATAATATCATAGCATACTAGCACATAAAGCATAACAGATAGTGACATAGCAGATAATTATCACAAAGACAATCATCTCTACTATAAATCTTACTAGTGGGCCGACATTGGTGCCTTCGACCCACTTCTACTGGAAGGTAACTCACCTCAAATGTCTTGTAGTAGTTAAACTGTCCTCGGTTCTGGGATCAACTCCTCTCAAACTCCTACACATAAAAATCTCCTTTAATTATCCTTAACCCCTTTAAGGGTCAACTCTGGTCAAGGGTCAAAGTCAAAGTCAACATCCTGGTTGACTCAAGTCGCCGAGTTGGTCCATCAACTTGTCGAGTTCCATGATCCATAAAACCCTAGAAATCTCGATCCAACTCGTCGAGTTCTTTCATGAACTTGTTGAGTTCATCTTCATAACAGAGTCGGGACATTTCACTCAAAACTCGCCGAGTTCCTCCTTGAACTCGTCGAGTTCTTCAATCTTCCAAAACCCAGAAACCATGTCCACCTTGCTGAGTCATCTCTTAGACTCGACGAGTTTGCCCAGTAACAGAAAAGGTTGTGGGACCACGACCCAACTCGCCGAGTTGTATGAATAACTCGTCGAGTTCTCCATAGTCTAAACCCATTCAGTCGTTTCCAGTCGGGTTCAATGCTTCCAAACCAGAGATCTAGTCCCTTGGACTAAGTTACCACGTAAAGTTGCTAACTTTACGTCCATGCATGGTATCATGAAGTTAGAAACACCAAAACTAAGCTATATAAGGGATCTAGGGCATGGGGAAGGGCCAAGGCTTGATAAAGCTGGCAACTTTAAGCCTCATAAGCTCATGAGTGCCTAGATATGAAGTCAAAACCTCATGATACACTCAAATCCCGAAAATGTCTTCAATATGGCCCAAAAGTAACAAAATACAACCCTAAATGAAGATCTAAGCAAATGAAAGCCAAGGTATCAACTTTATACCTCAAATGAGTCAGAAATGCAGCTCAACTTCCGGATCTACTGGCTTCCTCTTGAATCCCCAAGCTTCTCCTTCCTTCTCAAGCTTCAAAATCACCAAGAACACACAATAATGGCTCAAAAACACTCAAAGGTGGATTAGGGTTTCGTGGCTAGGGTTTGGGGTGATGGACGCTGCAAATGAGGCCACCCTTTGGAGGTTACGGTGCTTAAATAGGGTGCAAAACCCTGAAAATTAGGGTTTCACTATGGCAGCCCTACTCGTCGAGTTGAGGATCTCAACTCGTCGAGTAGACTTCAAGTCCCGCGTCCAAATTCCATTCCTACTCGACGAGTTTGGGGCCTCCAACTCGTCGAGTCCCTTTGCAAAAATGACTAATTTGATTTAAAATACATACCAGGATCCGGGCATTACAAGTATTTAGGGAAACTTCTTCGCCAATGACCCTTTTCGCCACAATGGAAACAAGTGGCCTCTTTTGGATCACTGATCACAGGAACATCAAAGTTACGCTTCGTCTTGGACCCACTGTTAGACCCTACAATATGGACCTTCCCTTTCCTATTGGATTGAGAAGGATCCTTCATATTTTTCCCTTTAGCGTATGGCTTCGTGAGTGAGGCCTACTATCGATTTGACTGACTTGTCTTATACATATAACTAGATTATGACCCGCGTTAAACGCGGGGGAACGCATAAAAACATAGAAACGTCTACAGATATTCCATAAGCGAACGATTAAGAACGATTAAATACAGGTGAACGATTAAGAACATTAATGTTGTTAAGTGAACCAAGAGAACCAAAAAAATTATCAAATACACAGTTCTTGTGATGCCACTGCTTCAAGTGTGATCGTTGGATGACCATGATCACCTCGGGAAAATTGCATTGACCATGGTGTGAGGTAAACCAATTTTCTCATGCCCAATGTAGACAATCGAAACTTCCTAACATTCCAGGAAATTCATGTACGCTAGCATGATGAGATATTGAGATTGCAATTTGATGATGTCATTATGTGTAGGCTTACGTAAATATTTTGGCCCATAAAGCTGAATAATAGTTTTGCAAAAATAATGGAGAATATCTCGTGCAATCCTAGCGGACATCCTAAAACTCTCGTCCAACACATCAGACATGATGCCATATTCTAATTGACGAAGTGCAACTGTGCATTTTTGTAAAGGAGTGAAACCGGGTGTACCTTTAGCATCGGAACGTGGTTGGAAAAAATCACACTCCCTTGTTAGATCTTCGATTGTACGTTCGCACAAAGGTTTGAACATTCTGAAAAGCCTTCGAAAGTACTACCATTGAAAAGTGGCATTCTCTTGAAAGTAGTCTTGTATCAGGCGTTGGTTTGTTTCTTTATGTTTCTATAAATATATCTTCGGGTTCTTCGTTCAGCACTTCCGGTTGTGCTACTCCATGCAGCTTCATACGTTTACTCCGCCAATTTAGCAGCAGCGACAACATCAAACATAACAGCAAAGTCTTCAAAAGAATCGGAGGATGACATTTTTTAATTTTTTTGAGAGGAAATGTAGTAGAAAGATAAAAAAAAATTGTAAAGGTTTGAGGTTTAAATAGGAATGTTAAAAGGTTAAAAAGAAAAGAAAAAAACACATTTTTTTAAAATTTGACCGTTCAACAGTCAATTGGAATGAAAATTGAAAGAAAGGAGCGCTCCTCTGGGGTACCACAGTGCGGCTTCCACCGCACCCCCACCGCGGTGGAGGGGCAGTGTTTGTGATGATGTCGCAGGGGTGGTGCGGCCTCTGCCATAGCCACACCCCTTGGTCTTATCATTAGGTAGTCAAAATCGGTTGAAGGTTTAATACATAACACAGATTCTCGAGTGTTTGAGTGTGTAATACTGTAAAAGGAAAATTCAATTTTCAAAACATATTCATTTATACTTGAGTTTATATCATTTAAGTTAGTAAATGATCGGACTAAGTAGTACATCGGACTAAATAGTACATGAATGCTGGTGATTTTAGTGTCATATCATCTAATGTGATCGACATTGCTCCCCATGATGGGAGCGTAATAGTTGGGATACAAAATTCCATAGAGGAAGTTCAATGTTCAAACCTTGCGCTAAGAATAGTTGGATTGCTTCTAATATAGCATGAGAAACAATATCATCACACTTCTTGAGCTCGATAATCCTTCTAAATTGTCTTAAATCTAGTTTAATATGTTTTTTTTATTGATAAACCGGTTAAAAAAACTGGTTATATCTTAGTTAAAAATGATTTTGAAAAAACACGAAATTGTTATAAGATTGTTTTTAACAAATCGTATAAAACATAAATCAAAATGTCAAATACTCTTAAAAATTTTTCCAAAACTAATTTTAAAATTTAAATAATATCAAAATAAGTAGTTTATGTTTATTAGCAATTACAATTGCCTGAAATTTACCCCTAATATAATCCGCAACATGGCATGTTTAGACTTTAGCGTGAGCTGAACTAATAAATATGTGTGGGATAGTTGTTTCTTAATTTATGTCAACTGAAAGAACCTGAAATGCAAGCATACGTCTAATAACTTCAATTATACGGTATAAAGAGTAAAATAAAAGAACCAAAGTGTACAAATTTAGATCTTACGTCTCATCATCGTTCTTCACAGTTAAAAATGAAATCACGAAGAATATTCAAGGTCATTTTCTTTTGTCTTGGAACTTGGGTATTCTTTAATGAATTCTTAATTCAATGAATATCCTAACGATTCACAACTCACTTTGAATTAAACTACAAATCAACCATATGGGGTAATCAATTTTTCACATTTTGATGATGATTTTTTGGTATAAATGAATCTTAAAAGCTCGTACACTCATTTACAATACTTTGCACTCGAGTATTCCATCAAGGTGCATCATATCTATGTGACCATTCTAAAGGAAAGAAATGCTTAACTTTGATTTAGATATAAAAAGGGGCAAATCGTTTGCCAGAAATTGCTCAAAAACATTTTGTCTCGAGTCCTGATATAACTCAAGTTCTTTAAGGGTTTATGTGTTTGTGTACTCCTACATACATGATAGCCTTGTTTTGATATCTGTTTATGTAAATGCTATACTGATGTAATTAGTTTAGTAAAATAAGCACATGCATTTTACAATTTAACATAAAAGAGCTCAAAACAAAGAAAAATCTACTACATAAATCAAAATTAATAGCGACAAGGAATCCAATTTTATAACCGTTAAGCATTGAGAAGAAAAGGAAAAAAAACGAATAACATTTTTGGTAAAAAGTTTGACAGCTAATGAAGTGGATAAAAAAATTAAAACTTAATAAGTGTTGTTGTCACAGGAGAGTAAAAGAATAACTATCCTTTCTACTACATTGTTGATGTTATGATGCTACTCCATTTGTAATAAAGATGGAATGGAGTATGCAAGCAAATTAATGACTTGATTTTGTTGTTTGTTTATTTACTAATCATCATCAATCACTCTTTAACAACTCCAGCAATCACCTACAAATTAGAAGCTACTGAAGCAGAGGTAGAAACAAGTTGCAGAAATTAAGCAAATTTAACTCATTGATTAATAAATGCGATTAATCTGGTTTATAAAAAATGATAAACTTTGGTATTTTTTTTCCCCAAAAATATATACCCCTTAAAACTAATAAATCAACATCATTCAACTCGATGAATAAAGCATAAAGAAATTTGTAGTTCTATAATGCTGTGGATATCTATTCATAAGCATAAAAAAAGTTTCAAATATCGGTACTTTTGACTGCAGGTTACATAAAAAGTGAATATAGTAGTGGTTGGTGTGAAAAGTCTAAACTAACCTTTCCTTATTTAAACAAGACTTGATGGATTTGTGGATGAGTAGAAATGAGAATCATTCATACTTCATACTTGTTGACCATGTTATTCACCAGTCAAGGGATGAGATTCACCATCTGCAATAAATTCAACCATCATTAATTTAAGCTTGTAATAACATCACAAATTATAAAATTATAAAATTATAAAATTGTAAAATTGTAAAATACCATAACCAAGGTTTGGATTTGGAGTTGAATTAACTTCTAAAGACGATTTTACCCCTCCTGAAACCTGCATATTAGTTGCAAAAAACAATATCATATCTCATACATACACTTTGAGTAATTAATTTATTATGTTAAACATACAAAATAAATAAATGATTAATAGAATTACAAAAATAACCTCATGAGGTGGAGAAGCATTAGAAGCTGCTGGTGTCTTCATATTTAAGTAGCAGAAGTTGCACCTGGTGTATGATTTTCAAGTTCAGGACTTTTTGTGGTATCATGCTCAAATCCCTTTTTTACACTCTCAACTACAACTATTTTCCTAATATTTTAAAAAAAAATCAAATTTGATTATTAAGTCATCAAATATAGGTTTATTAAAGAGATTTACAACCTTCTGAAATCATCAGCAACTGTTTTCTTGATGTTGTTTGAGAGTAAAACTCCACGCAGAGGCATCCTATCTATAACTGTCTCAATTGTATAACAATTTGTAATGTTTTTTTGTTACTTTTGCTTGAAATGTTCTCTTCCCTTGTGGATTATGTTACTCATTCAAATACACATTCTGTCTATCTACAAATAAAAAAAGTCAAAATGTCAAAACATAATCAGGAAAAAGTCAAAATAAAAATAAAATAAAAAACTCGTACTTGGTGGAAATTGGATATGACTTGGCATTTCCATTGGGGTATCAGTAGCACACACTGCAGTCAAAGTCAAACCTTGTTGTTCTTGACTTTTCAATCTCAACTAATTTCTCAAAGATAACTTCTCTAGTTTTCTTTCATCTCTTTCGTTTTCAGTTACAATCCCTAAAATCAAAATCAGTTAGCATAAATGTATAATCAGTACTGTAAGGTAATTGATTCATTGTGAAATTCACTTCAAGGATTGATTAAATTAAACATGTGAATATGTAGAACATGTTATCAAGTGCTTCAAGTTTCTTATTGCATCCACATATGAATATAAGAACACCTCCATGTTGTGGATGTAAAGTGCTTCCAGCCATTGAAAATCTTGCAGAAGGCCGTTCTCCTATTGTCATAACTTTAGTCCATGTAAAAGTTTTTGCACAAATGTTGGAAATATCAAGAAATAACATATCATAAAAAAATAATAAAAAAAACAAAACTTGATACTTCTGTTACATTACAATTTACATACCAAGATCAAACATGTATAAGTCATTATACAGATCTTCAGCATCAGTAAAACCTCCAAACACAAACAAATTCTTGCCTAGTGCAATGTTTGTATGCCCAGCTCTAGGTCGCAAAAGCTCACCATTGGTCACCAATTTTGTCCAAGTAAGTGTATCTATGAACAAGAATGTAGAAATTAGGTCATGACATTAAAAAATTGGTAGAAAAAGTCAAAATTGAAACCTGCATCAAGCATATGGACATCAGACATTTAATAGTTCTGTGTATCTTCTCCACCAATCACAATGATTTTTTTCCATGAGACACATGGATGGCTATTACGTTTGGCAGGTGGAATTCCAGTGGTTGCTACTCGCTTCCATAACATTGTCTCTGAAGAATACATATCCAATTCCCAAAGGTCCAATTCCTTGAAAGGCCATGGGGGAAAGAACCAAACCACGACAATAATCAATTAACCACAGTTTCAGTAAATAGTTCCCTTTGGCAGGTTACAATAAATTCATTTTAACTTCGAGAAACAACCATTTCTATGCTTCATAGAAGTTCTTTGTCGTTTTAAAGCAGCGGATTCACTCAATTGATAACTTAAATTGCAATAACAAATCGTCGGTATCTTAAATTCATACAAGAATATTGCGCTTATGAGGTTCTCTACCTAATCTGAAATACACCCACTCTCCACCACGAACAGGGGACCAAAACTCTAAAGTAAGGATGTCGTGACGTAAAGCACCACTTTTCAATGCAATCGTCTGCAATTGTCTCAAAATCGTTCAAAAATCGCAAAAAGAAATCAAGAATATGTTCATAAATGTTGAACTTACAAATGAAAAAACAAACACAGCGTCACAATTCTTTTTACAAAAACACACCTGACGTCAATCTACATTGGGTGGCTTGATCAATCCATTTTCTAAAGATGTTTCCTGTAAGATCAATATTGATTCTTCAATCGATCAATGATAGAGTTGCAAGGGGCCAAAAACTTCAATTTCTTATTTTCTTTTGTGGATTGAGTAATCAGAACTCTATCTTCGTAATCGTCTTCAAGCACCTATATATACCAAATGTTTATTAAGTTCCATTGTTTGAGAGAGAAGATGATTAGAATCAACCGATAGCTTTGTTGGTTAAGATTAATCAGAATGAAAAGATGATTAACAATATAGAACCCTAATCTAGAGACAATGTAATCGCGTAATAGCTGAGCCTGAGGAAGCCATTCATAAAGGATTTCAATCAAATATGTTGCAATCATCCTCATCGACTTATCAAAAATCGCTAATTAAGTGGTTGATTTATCGATTTCAACATGGAAAGTGTTTATTACAGACGGACGTTTTGTAATCAATCGAATTTGGAATGCGTTCAATCAATAGGGATTTGTTTTTCTTTAGGATGACATCATCCAGAATAATGTAGAATGATCTAAAGGTTGAAATTAATAAAGAAAATACAATGAAGGGTCGTGATTGTTGAAGGTGATGTCATCAAGTTTCTCTTTTAATAATATTTAGAGATATATTAGCTTTTAATAATATATAGTATAAGACGTATTTTAAATCTTTTCAAAATATATTGTTTAAATGTTAATTATCTAAATTATCATATAATTAACTAATCAATTTAAACATATTATGAACTTATAATTATCTTTAAATTAAATTACTATTAAATTAATTAATAAATTCATAAGATATGATTCAATTTAATTTATCTAATTAAAAATTATCCACTAAGGACATCTCCTAATATATAGGGTTTTATGGATTATCACATAAGGAATTCAGAACGCGGAATCCAATAGAATTAATACAAGATAATTACCAAAAATAGCACCATAAATCTGATTATGGAGATAATAACCAAAAATCTCGAAAATATTATGCTCACGTCGTGACAGCTAACTGTAACGTCGTGAGATCAGTGTTTTTGCGAAAAATTTGTTACTTTGACTCAACTCATGTGAAATCAATGTTTGACAAGCCTAAGCTCTGATACCACCGTTGGGTTTTATAGAAAACAAAATTGTATAATGCGGAAAACATTTAACAATTAATAGGGTACATGCATCCTATAAAAGACCTATGTCACACACCTTAATAACAACATACAATGAACAACTAAACTACCTAAAGCCTAATGTAATTCGAAAATTGCAAGGTTAAGATGACATACTTTTTGAATTGTTATTGTAAACAAATCAAACCAATCCTTGTAGTTGTATAGCTTGGAAAGACTAGCACCAAAGAGATGATGCGTCAAATGGTTTGTACCAAAACCCTAGCAACAAGAACACAAGAGGAGAGAGGATGGTATAGCAGAATTTTGGCTCTGGGAGGAGTAAGAGTAGTACACAAAAATATGAACCCAAAGGGTCCTATTTATAGCTGATAAGGAATCATTGGATAATCCTAATTTGAATATAATAATAATATTCAAATTAGGCAGATATCTAATCCCTTTACTTATCCTCCAAGGCATCCTAGAAGCCTTAGAAGACTCCACAAAATCGTCCCCATGAGGGAGGTTCTAGAAGCTCTACATTGCTCAACTTTTAAACAATATCACATTTAGTACCTACATTTGCAATTAATTTAATTAATCCCAAAATTAATTCCAATTAATTTCTGATTAATTCTAAATTAATAATTACTATTACTAATTAATATATTAATCATATAATATTAATAAATCATTTATTCCAATTTCCAATTAATTTATTATTCATATAATAAACTAAGAAATTATCCTTTCTCTCCAAATGCAATTCTTTTCAGTTGCTAGTTCCGAGGGCAACCCAAAAAGGACTTTGCTTTCATTTCAAAACTATACTGATTTAGTTATTGGCTTAGACACCTTAATCCAACAATATTCCTTGTTGATTTTGTTGTTCTTTACATGAAGGAGGATGAAGACTTGCAAACCATTCTAGGAAGACCTTTCCTATGCACAACTCACACCCTAGTAAACATCCACGATTCCAAGCTTACATTACGAGTGGGGGACGAAGAGATTACATTAAGAGTCAATAAAAAGTCCATAACTTCGAAGGAAAGTAATGATGTAATTTTCATGGATAGAGTGGATGAAGTAATTCATGAAGAAGATAATGAATTTGAGGAGTTGGAGAGATTGATGGAGGAGGAGTTACAAACTTAGGAGAAGCCTAAACAACAAAAAGATGTAAAACTTATAAAGCCTCGAGCCTCAACTCCCATGATATTTGAATTGTTTGCACTCACTACCCCCAAGGTGCATTTTGAGGAGATAAATAAAGAAGAAAAACATAGTGATAAAGAGGAAGACGAGCAAATGGAGGAACCCGATAAAGACAAATTGAAGGCTAAGATGGCTGGAAAAACTCAAGGAGTCAAGCGTAAGCACGATGCAAGTGACAACTCGAGAAAGAAGGAGAATTAAAGAAAGTATACAGAAGACGGGTTGCAGCGTACACAAGGAAACAAATCGAATTGAAGGAGAACAGAGAGATTTTGCTCCCAACCCGCACAACGTAGAGCAGGAAGGAGTCCGACTCATGACTCCTACAAAAAAAGTGCTTCTAGGAGGCAGACCGTATTTGGTTTGCATTTTCTTTTCTTTTACTTTTAGTTATATTATTTTTTAAATTTTTCTAGGAATAGTCACTTGCTTATTCTTTGTTTTTAATCAAGAGCGGGGTAATAGGAGTATGGGGTGAAAGTTTTTTTTATCAAATTTTGTAATTTTTTTAGGTTTTTGGAATTAATCTACACCCACGACGTAGACATCTTTGCCCATGACGTGGTATTCGAATAAGCCCTAATTTCTGATACTCATTATCACAACATGACTGTTACATCCCGAAAACCATGATAAAAATTTTCATTTTATATAAAACATTTCCACAAAACCACCAGATATAAACCATTGTTTTCAAATCAAATCCATAGAATCAGAGTATCAAAACACTCTCAAAACATAAATCAACAGGAGGATGTGTACAATCATGTCTTTGCCTTGCCCCGATCATCTGATGTACCTGAAACCAATGAAATAAAAAAATATAAGCCAAAGCTTAGTGAGTTCCCCCAAAATACCACACACAACAGAACATAAACAATACATGCTCACCGGGCCCACTGTATAAAACTGGATTGCCCCTGGGACCACAGTTTCCCGAATGGATTACCATGGCCACAGTCTCTTCGAATGGATTTCCCTGGCCCATAGTCTCCCGAATGGATTGCCCCGAGTTTGTTGTCCAACAACACAAAGCAGTACCGCATCAACCCAACCACACTATGTCGACATATGCAACATATAAATAATAACCAACAAGTACAAGTGATTATACAGATCCACAAAGCTAACAAATCACTTTATCATAACAGTATCCTATACACAAGGATACATGAGACAATATAGTGGTCCGACATTGGTGACTTCGACCCGCAAATACAATGAGGAAAACTCACCTCGAAGTCTATAAGATTGTTGAACTGATCACAGATCCAAATAGGCTCTACAGGTCACCTATAAAACAACCAGGGACCAAGCCTCAATCTACAACTCAAATTACTCCATTGGTCCTAAAGTCAAAATTGGTCAAAGTCAACGATCAACAATCAAAAGTCAAAATTCAACATTCATCCAAACTACACCAACGTAATAGCTCTACGCCCAGCATAGAGCCTACGATGGCAAAATGGGGGAAAATGGAGCAACGCCCCACGTATGGGAATTTACGCCCTGTGTAAACCCCTGATGCCTTAAATTAATTATTAAGCCCTTAATTCAGTCCAATAGCTCATCCAACTTCTAGATCTCTATCTTATAAACGTCTTAATGGATAAAGTCTCAGACTTTATCCATTTGCATGCATACCAAGGGCATATAATCATAACCTAAGTCCAAAACGTCACCTAATTCTAACTCATGCATGGTTGGATGAGACTGACCAAGCTCTCATTTTTATGACTTAATAACCCTAAAAACGTCTGGAAATAACACTCTAGTAGTCTGGAGTAGCTCTTACTCATATGCACCATAGTTATGGGGGACAAAAAGCATGAAATCCTAAGCATAACTAGATCCAACATAAAAACACATCAAAGTGGTAACTTTATACCTTCTAGAGATGGTTAACGGAATGAAAATTTTGGATCTAAGCTGGTTTGAGCTCCCAAGTGGTTCCACAATCTTCTTCATCCTTCATAAGTAAACACAAAACACACTTAAGGCTCAAAACTCTTAAAAAGGGGATTAGGGTTTTAAAGGGGTCGTTTGGGAGGATGGAGGCTGAGGATGGAAGGGCCTCAAGGGATTTATAGCCTTTAAATAGGGCTCAAAATCCCAAGATTAGGGTTTTGGTCCTGGGAAGCTATGCGGTGCATAGCTTGATCTACGCCTTGCATAGATCATTAAGTCCCCACATCAGGATTCCCTCCTATGCGCTGCGTAGGATATTACCCCACGCCCCGCGTAGGACTATACTTCCCAAAACTTAATGTTTTAATTAATTAAGGAAAGATTTTTACCTACAAGGATCGGGTGTTACAATGACAAACACATGGTCACGACGTGAGGATTTTGGGGGACCAGCCATATGTTTTTAACCCTAAAATGCCATTTAACTATCACTTTCACAACCAACTCATAACTTGCGCTCCTGTTTTTTCCCACACTTTGATTTTTCGGCAATTACCACTACTTTCTTTCCATTTTTCGTGTTAAATCCGCATCCAAGGTATGATTCTTCAATGTACCGCATTTAATCTTTGCTCTATTGCACTTAGTTTTACTAGGGTTTACTTATTTTTGAACAATAGGTGCGATTTTGGGTTAAGGTTGATAGACATTGTCAATTTGTGCCTAAAGTACCCTATAACAAAACCCTTTTGCTTAATTGGACAAAAATGGCCGAAGAATCCCGATTGGAATCTACTGTCGTCAAAGCTCATGACGTGAGGTCTGGGCAAAGAGAAGTTGATTTTGTTTTGTTTTTCCTTACATTTTGTGTTTGTTTGTGGTTGGTTTGTATATTATTTTGCAGGATAATGGGACCAAGAAGAGGACAACAACAACCTCAAGAAGATTTGTCAAACCTCCACCCATTTTACCAATTCTGGTCTACCATTTTTTTACGATGTTTTAAGGACTTACAACAACCGGTTGGGATGACTTCACAATCGGGATTTTGTTGTATCACAAATAATTGATTGGGCAAAATTGAATAACATCGGAATCTTAGAAAGGCTCAATCAATACTTAACGAAGTTGTATGTTGGAACTGGAGTTCATATCAATTGGAATAGATGGAGAAACCTAATTTCTATCAAAAAATCGGTTTATAAAGAACTTTGTGTGGAATTATTTGCAAAGGTTAGCTTTGAGGAGAATACGGAGGATCCACAATATGAAAAAGCGTTTGTATTCCGGCTAGGAAGGGAATACCCAGAATGTAGCTTGGTTGAATTGGCTTGGAGAATGGGATTATACGAACAACATGAAGCTATGTCACCACAATTCGACATGTTCTTATGGGCCGTGGCTAGAGACTATTCTGAAGGGGTGAAAAACTATGGATTTTGGACCAATATTGCAAGTAGTAACTACAACCCAAGTATTTCTCAAGAAAGTCAAATTCGGTCTCCAATACATCGCCTTATCCACCGCATTGTTACATTTAGCATTAACCATAAAAAAGCATAAGGATAAGGTCACGAGCCTCAATTTATTTTATCTATGGAGTATTTTGATGCCAGGGGTTTTCTGCAATATACCCTACTTTCTTGGTAAATTTTTTGGGGGAAAAAGTAGTTAATTCACGAGCGGGAAGCCCAATTGCAGGGGGGGGGGGGGGGGGGACTTTGTGACCGGTGTAGCGAAATCTTGTGGAGTTTTTATCCCATGCATGTTTCGTTCGTTGAACTGTATTCCGGGAAATGATCTTACCATGAATTTCTTAGAGATTATAAGAACGGTGGTGAACTTGGGAGGTACATATGGAATACCACCAGATGACCCATAATTGCTAATGGATGGTGTAAAGGAACCAAGACCTCAAGGAAGAAGGAATGTGCGAGCGAGATGTGGAGAACGAGCACAACCACCACCACGAGACGTGCCCATAAGGGGAGCCCCAACTGACCCGTTTCAAAACCGAGTTGGCACGTACTTGGATAATCTTCGTGGGGGAGTAAACTACCTCGATCAATTTATGGATACATTATTCTCACATTTCCACATTGAGCGCCTAGAAAATATGCCATAACAATTACCGTACATTCTAACGTGGGAAGAATTGTGGGCAACCGAGGATTTTGGAGCCGAGACGAATGGTGCCCGAGATGAGGAAGACGAGTGATTATCCTTTTTATTTTATTTTTATTTTGTGTGCTTTATTTTAGATTTGTTTTTAATTGTTATTATTTTAGTGTGTTTTTAATTTGTTTTGTTTTAAAACTTGTAACCAGATGATTGTATTTGTTTCCTTGTTTCATCTCTAGGATTCTTGTTATTTTTTATGTCGCAGAATTAAAATGATTTTTATGAAAAGCTGTGATCATTTAAAGGATATTGAAAACCACAACTTTTGATAAGTGTGGATTGCATATTAAGAGTGTTAGAGATAATGAGAGTCTTTACAGAAAAAGAGGTCTAGAAACAGTCTAATGCCATTTAGAAGTGAATGGAAGATATATCAAGAAATGCAATTTTGGCAAAATTTGTTCCGAGACCCTCCGGTTTTCACAATCTAACCAGCCATATGTCAAGTATATGAGTTTCACACCTAACAAGTTATAATTATGGATGTTCCGACACATTCCAACTTACCCTCGCTCAAATTAGCACAAAAACTAACATCACGCAATCAATCATATTCTCAGAAAGTAGGGAGGACGAAAAACTTACACTTTAAAGGTAGCTTCGTGATAAAACTCCCACATTTTAAAATATTTATTGTCATAAAAATATGGTAACCATGTTTAATTTCTTTTTTGTCATGACAGACATACTAAAAAGTTTGTCATTATTAATGTCAATCACATGAAAGTGCAACTTCTCATCATGATAACATCAATCATTGTTTTAAATATTTTGTTATAAAGATAGTAACATTAAAAATAACTCGACATCATCAAATCGATCAAAATTTGCTGAAGATCAATTTGTCACCATATTATATAAACTGTGATAAAAAATCATTATATTCACAAATTGGACGCTACAAAACTTAAATTGATAAAAAAAAAGTCGTACTCAAAGTTTTGTTAATATAAAAATCATGTTTCAAAATTTGTTGATAGAAATGCAGTTACATTATGATGAATTTGTTTATATATTAAGTATTTTGTCTTCGTAACAATAAATAATCACATTTACAAAATTGTCGTTGATTATGACATTCTAACTTAATTACTTTACAAAGTATAATCACAAAATATTTTATGGAAAAGAAGAAAATAATTTTGTGACAAGTGTACAGGAAGTTGAGAATAAGGGCCAGATAGATATTTATGATTTTATGTCATCTTGACATCTTCTTTATAAACACGTTTTCGCTTATATTTTGCTGAAATTGAAAGTGTCCATTGGGCTTGGCCTAAAAGTGACATATTGGGTTGTATATTTTTAGGGGAAATGACATACCAAACGTAATTATTTTTGTCGTTTTATTCATATTTATTTTTTATTATTTTTGTATATTTTTAACCATTTTAACTTGTTAGTGTGTTCACATATTAACATTGCCACCTGCTATAGTCGGTGACAATGTTAATATATAAACACATTAGCAGGTGACAATGTTAATATGTGAACACATTAATAAGTTAAATAGTTAAATGAGTACAAAAAAATTGTCTAAATATGAACAAAACGAAAAGTTAATTATTCTGATAAGTTATTTTTCACACTTTTAATAGCGATTCATTTTTCATATTTTTTGTATTATTTTTTCAAAAGTTATTTTTAAAATATCCATAATTTCCTAAATATTAATTAAATATCGATCAATTCTAAACTTTACTTTTTAATTAATAAATATGTTTTTGTTTTGTGAAATATTATATATAGCCTCTTTTATATATATATATATATATATATATATATATATATATATATATATATATTATTTTCTTTTAAGCATATACAATATTTTTAAAGTAAATAGTATCTAACAATAAAATAAAATAAAATAAATTAAATATGTAACAATAAGTATGGAGGGCCTTTTAAAAAAGTAAAAAGAAAATATTACTTAACAAATAAAAAAACAAAAAAATCTATATAATGTAAATGTTTTAAATTTATTACAATTTTTTAATATTTTTTAATTAGAAGTTTATAAAATTTTAATTTTTTTAATACAATGTTTTCAACTAGTATTTAACGAAATATTTTAAAATGTTATAAAAAGAATATTGAATTGTTATAAAAATTTTGTGAAATATTTTAAAAATATTGTAAAAGCAAGTTTAGAAATAACTGTATGAAAATTATAAAAAAATTGTATGAAAATGTAAAAAAGAAAGTTAAAAACTTGTAAGAAAAATTTTAAACATTTATAAAATATTTGGTTTAATAGCACTTGTATTAAAATTATATGTAAATATAAAAATAGTTAAAAAAATTATAAGCAAAGTTTAAAACATTGTATTAGAAAAACCTATAAGAAAAACATAATAAAAATGTTGTAAGAAATTATAAAAAGTATTAAGAAATTTATAAAAAAAAAATTTGTTCACATTTAGACAAATTTTTTTTACACATTTGACCATTTAAATTGTTAAATGTGTTCACATATTACCATTGCCAACTGCTATATGCCTAAACATGAACAAGACGAAATGGTAATTATCATCGCAAGTCATTTTCCCTACATTTTATTGAACTCAATCTAATGATGAAATGAAACGTCAATTTGGTTTTTCTTTTTGTTTCCAACTCCTGGCCTATTGTAACGACGTAAATTTTCAAACAAAATTTTCATTTAAATCACATAATTCTCATAACACATTTCACAAAAATCTCATTTATTTAATTTATAAATCGGAACTCCATAATTGTTTAATTAAGACTCCAGGATCCTCAAACATAACTCTTTCTCTGGTGTGTACAATCAAGTCGGCGCCTTCCCGCGATCCTGAGAAAAACCTGAAACACATATCACATAACATGGTAAGCACGAAGCTTAGTGAGTTCCTCAAAATACCACACACAGCTCATTAGCCACTCGAGGCTATAACTCGATAAGACCCTCCGGTCAATGTGTCTCAGTGGGACCCTCCGGTCCCACAACTCGGGTGGACCCTCCGGACCTAACTCAGATGGACCCTCCGGTCCTAACTCAGTAAGCTCAGAATAATACACAACATAAATCACATTGACATAATGCAGGATATCACAGTACTCAATATAAACAGATAAGACCCTCCGGTCACACATAGATACCACTCATGGTAAAGTATAGTGAGAAGACTCACCTCAGATGATGAACAACCCCTATAAATGATGCTGCTACGCGCCGACCTCTAACTCTGAGCCAAACCCACAATTAACCCAATTAGGAACTAAGTCCAAACTCTCACTCATTAGGTCTAAAGGTAGACCACTAACCAGCCCCTCAATGACCTAAAACCCATTGGGACCACCAAGGCCCAATAATAAATGGGCTCCCCCGAGGCCCAACTCTCAAATCTGAAAGGCAAGCCCAACTCAAGGGCCCAAAGCACATATATGTATTCCTTTGGTCCAAAACTCTATTGCAAAAAGCCCAAACTCCAGGCCCAACACTCAAGGCCCAAAATGAGACTTACCCAAAAGTCCTCAGTGAGGTTACACGGGGCGTACCTCTCTTGGTACGCTCAGCATACTCACGAATTCAGATTGGCCATCGGGGAGACTGGGGCAGTACGCGGGGCGTACAGGAATTACGCTCAGCGTACTCCCCAGATTCATTCTTTCTACTCATTTGGTCTTAATCAGTTAAGACATTAACTCAAATCCCAGATCTGGACTCCCTACTGGCTCTTACTCCATAAAGTCAGTGACTTTAATCCTTTGCATGGCTGAAAACATCACAAACACCCAAAACACTCACTCTCTAATCTCAAAAAGCTCATAACTCATGCATGGATTGATTCCAAAGACCAAGATTGGATTTTTATGACATTACATCACTAATTATACTCAAAGGGGTTGATCATAGTCTCTGGAGCTCAATATCTCATAAAGTCTCCACCTTTTGGGACAAAAACCCTAAAATACTCTAATATGATGCTCAAAACAAAAGAGTGAGAAAGCTTGAAGCTTTATACCTCTATATGAAGCTTCCAACTTAGATATGCTCAGATCCAAGGCCTGGACTTCTCACTCCTTCTTCTCCAAAGCTCCTTCTTTACTCCAAGAACACACCAATATCACTTAAGGCTCTCAAATGCACTCACAAGCTCCATGAACAAAGGATTAGGGTTTTAGAGGGTTTATTGACTGAGGATGGTGGCCAGGAATGAGGCCATCTCATTCTTTATATAGGGACACATCCAAAGTTAGGGTTTCCACTCTGTGCCTAGTACGCCCAACGTACCCTCTGGTACGCCCAACGTACTAGGTGGCTCCGCTTAAAAATCATGCACATGAGTACGCTAAGCGTACACACACGTACGCCCAACGTACTCCGCTGCCACCTTTTTCAATTAAAGGACTTATCCTGCCACAACTTCAAACTTCCATTGCTTCCTCAATATATAACTCCGTTTCCAATGAATCTCATATCCTCGGAAAGGTGACGAGATGCCCTATGCTCCTAACAACTCGTCGCAACCCCGAGACTTCCTCATGCCCGGGTTGCAGTCCACAAACCCTAATCACGGACAATCCGAAACAGGATGTTACACCTATAAACAAAAAATACTAGACATTCGTGCCAAATTATAAACTTTTTAGATCATTCAAACTAAATGTAGATAAACACTTCCCATCACTAAATTCAGAGGCGGAACACACGAGCATTAAGATTAGAGGGGTGAGAATGTTTATACTATTAATATTACTTTCTAATATATTGTGTACTAGTAAGTTACTACCCCTGCTTTGCGGGGACTAAACTTGCATAATGCCAAAAGTATAAGGAGCAAATAAGAAAATATACAAAAGTCATGTGGCGAAAGTTAAATAAAAAAGGTAATATATTGCGGAAGCATGGGGT